CCCCCCAACATTTTAAGAGGAGCTGAGCTCTGACAATCTACGGTTTGGACACTGAACGCAAAGCCGTAGATCTACGGGATGGACCCTGAAAGGGTTAAGCCATACCTTAGTAACAGAACTTAATATGTGTATGCAAATGATGCAAACTCTTCCACCCAACCAATCACAGTAGGAGTCCCACAAGGAAGCATCCTTGGACCTCTCCTCTTTCTCATCTACATCAGTGATCTACCGAATGCATCACAGCTACTCAAACCCATATCATTTGCAGATGACACTACATATGTCTCTTCCCACCCAAACGCAGTCATACTAGCAAACACAGTCAATGCTGAATTGCAGAAAATATCTGCCTGGATGATGACTAACAAACTTACCCTGAACACTGATAAAACCTATTTCATTCAGTTTGGAAACAAAGCTGCAAATGATCCAATTAACATAATGCTAAATGTATCATCAGTCACAAGACTCACAGAGGGAAAATTCCTAGGTATCCACCTTGACAGTAGCCTAAAGTTCCGGACATACAACAAATCACCAAGACTGTAGCCATACTATCAAAGATAAGGTACTACGTTCCACAATCAGCTCTCGTGGCACTGTACCATTCACTCAAATACCCTTAACTTACATATGGAATTTGTGAATGGGGATTAACAACATCAAATCACCTAAAACCCCTAATAACCCAGCAAAAGGCAGCAGTAAGAATAACAAATTCCCACTCCCGCCAGCATACTCCACCAATTTTCAAAAGTCTGAATCTGCTCACCATTAACCCTTAAACTGTCCAAACGTAGATCAACGTTTTTTTCAACATTTGAAAGTATGTATGTAAAAAAACGTAATTTCTTTTTTTTTACATTTGAAAATGTGTAAAAAAAACTTTGATCTACTTTTTTTTTTGTTATATTTGAAAATATGTAAAAAAACATAGATCCACTTTCGGAGCACTACACATGTGAACGTAAATTTCTTTGGACAGTTTAAGGGTTAAGAACATCCATACTTATTCATGTGCCTACTACATACACAGAACAATACACGCAAATATAACCCCCCCCCCACTCAAACTTCTCATCAACCTAAACAGGACACATGACCATAACACAAAACACAGATCTCTTTTTGATATACCTCCTGTCCATATCACACTGTGTAAAAACTATGCACATAAAGGGCCCCAAAATATGGAATTCATTACCAGAAGATATTAAAAGTAACCCAGTCTGAAAATCAATTTAAGACTTCTCAAAAGCCACTTAATCACCCTAGACTAAATGCTAAATACTCAGTACACATTCACCTATGTACTCCCACATCATAACTGAAACAATCACATTGAACCTTTTATCCATTGTTGACAGGAATATAATTGAATCATTGTTTTCACAAAAGCATTTTAGAATATAAATATTTTTTTTATTAACACACTGGCCGATTCCCACCAAGGCAGGGTGGCCCGAAAAAGAAAAACTTTCACCATCATTCACTCCATCACTGTCTTGCCAGAAGGGTGCTTTACACTACAGTTTTTAAACTGCAACATTAACACCCCTCCTTCAGAGTGCAGGCACTGTACTTCCCATCTCCAGGACTCAAGTCCGGCCTGCCAGTTTCCCTGAATCCCTTCATAAATGTCACTTTGCTCACACTCCAACAGCACGTCAAGTATTAAAAACCATTTGTCTTCATTCATCCTATGAAACACGCTCACGCATGCCTGCTGGAAGTCCAAGCCTCTCGCACACAAAAACCTCCTTTACCCCCTCCTCCAACCTTTCCTAGGCCGACCCCTACCCCCCCTTCCTTCCACTACAGAATGATACACTCTTGAAGTCATTCTGTTTCGCTCCATTCTTTTCATGTCCGAACCCCCCAACAACCTTTCCTCACCCCTCGGGACAACAGTTTTTGTAACCCCCACCTCCTTCTAGCTTCCAAACACAAATTTCTGCATTATATTCACCCCACCATTGCCCTAGACATGACTCTCCACTCCTCAGCCTTCTCCCCCTCCCAACATTCATCCCCTGCTTCACACCCATATAAAAGCGTTGGTAAAAATTTACTTCATACATTCCCCCCTTTGCTCCAAAGGGCAAAGTTCTTTTCCCCCCACAGTCCAAGCCACCGTCACCCTTTTTCCCTCATCAATTTTATGATTACCTATCTTTCTAGACCCTCCCCTGACATGTCCCTCCCAAATATATAAAAATTTTCTTTGTATTTACAATTTTTTTAATTTATTTAAATTTTTAAAATTCTCTGTACAATATGAAATAATTTCTATCCTACTGTACAACTATGATATACTCCTTAGTATTAAGTAGCGTAACCATAATGTTAAGTTTGGCCCAAATGCCCAGGATAATAGAGGGTCTCTTGCATTGCAACCCACTATTGTAATTTCAAAATCTCAATGTATGTTTTTAAAGACATAAAAAAAAAAAAAAAATGGTTCTTCAGGTATGGGTGACAGTAAGAATACAGCTCATAACATTTACACTGCATACGTCCTAGTGGCTGATCATCCCTACAAGGGGTCTTCAACAAAAAATAATGATAATCTATTTCTACAAGTAATTACAAAGGGATACGGCCTAGGGGCACCCAATGACTTTTACATGTGGAAAACCCCCTTTTTATGCAACCAGTCTTGGGCCCCCGGGTGCGACCCAACCAGTGACAACACCCCGGGCTACTCGCTGTAGGTGAACAGGGACAGTAGGTATTTAAGGAAAAAAAAACCTCGCTTCCACCCAGTCGGGGATTGAAACCCGGGGCCCCTTAATTTGTGAAGCGTGTGCACTAGCAATCGAGTACGGTGCCATATCTGGAGGATAAAGTGATACATCTTTGTTTTGGCAATTAATATATTTTATAACAACAGCCAATGGGGAAGTACAATGCCTGCATTTTAAAGGGGGTTTGGGATATCGCGTTTGGAGGGTGGGTGTAATAGGAAATAATATATTAATTGGGGCCCCTGAATTTTTTTTCTAAAGGGGGGTTTATTTTTTCAGGTCACTTTTTATATTGTACTTTATACAGTATATGTTCTAAACTGTTGTTTGGGGGCACCTCTGCAAAACAGCATTATGTATGGTGAGGTAAAGTGTTGAATGATAATGAAGTTTTTCCTTTTTGGGGAATTTTTCTTTTTTTTTTGGGGTACCCTGCCTAGGTGGAGAGGGCCGACTTTTTTAAAAAAAAAAAAAAGCAAATAGTATAAAAAAAGTTCTGAAATAAAAAAAGAATTTACGCTCTGAGAAACTGTATTGCTAATATAAATTACAATAGGTCTAAATTTATCTCATAATCAAATTTACATAGAGAAATACAAAATACGTACATACGTGGTCCCCGTTTTTCGTTTTTAATCCGTTTCTGGAGCAGTTATAAAAACGAAATTTTACATTTACGAAAAATTTTTCCCCCTAAAAAATAAT